CTATTTTGTGTGGCTCTGTAGTTACTTTGTGTCTCTTTGTAGTTGTTCTGTGTCACTTTGTAGCCTTTTGTCTTATTGTCGTTTTTTATCTCTTATTAGTCATCTGTCGTGTCTCTCTGAGGTTGTTTTGTGTCACTCTGAAGTTGTTTTGTGTCTCTTTGTGATTGTTTTGTGTCTCCTTGAGGTTGTTTTGTATCTATTTGAAGCTGTTTTGTGTGTCTGTAGTTGTTTTCTGTCTCTCTGCATTTGTATTGTGTCTCTTTAATGTCATTTTATAGCCATTTTGTATGGCTTTGTAGTTACTTTGTGTCTTTTTGTAGTTGATCTGTGTCACTTTGTAGCCTTTTGTCTCATTGTGGTTGTTTTGTGTCTCTTTGTAGCCATCTATTGTTTTTTTTCTTGCTATTTTCTGTTTCTTATTTTTAGGTAGTTTGAGACTTTTTGTAAGTTTGTTTCTCTTCTTGTGCTTTTTTTGTATTTCTTTGAAACATGAGATAAATGAACACGTGAATCCTAAATTATTAGAGAAGAGGTGAGCACACATTAGCAGGTGCTAAGCTACCGGCCTGTCTCAGACATGCAAACAGTGTTGGGAAAACTTCATTCAGTGTTTTCACCTGGTTAAATCTGCTCTGTTCATTTTGGAGAGGACACTAGTTGAATTTTTAGGTCTGCTGTCATTACATTCTTTACCTTTATGCTGATTTAGTTATGGAATGCTTTGTTATATTTATCTACTGAAGAACAACAGAAACACCACAGTGCCCGAGTGCTTTACTCACCTCAACATATATTCATTATGAGTTTCTACAAGTCTAAACTGTCTGGTTTACACTTTAATTCAGTTAAATAAAACACAGATTTGACGTCTCTGTCTGACATTATTATGTTATTATTATTAAAGCCAAACATGTTTCCCGTTTAGCTGAAGATAAAACGAGTCACAGTACAAAAAGCTGCAACTCCTGACCTGCTGGATATCAAACTGAGGTGGATGCAGATGAAGCCAGAGGGCGGCAGACTCGCCGCAGCTCTGCTAATTAACCGCCGAGTCCATGTCATCTATTTCTGCTCTAATTAAAAGGCGTTAACCCTGCGCCTGCCGACCGGCCGACCCGCCGCTTCATTAGCTGCCTCACCTCTTATTAATGTGCTCTGAGAGTGTGAGAAGACGAGCCGCCGGGTTCACACCGAGATACTTCAGTGCAATAACAGAAAATAACTTCACTGCCTCAGACCTGTTGTGTTCTGCTCCTGGATCAGTCATGAAGGCTCCGACCTTTGACCCCACCCTCTCTCAGATACTTTGCTACTCTTTCATTTTAACAAACTGAACAAAATCTGCTGCTGAACGATTCATTTCTTCACAAGTCTCACTGTTTGTTTCAGCGAGGACGAACATCAGGTCCTACGGCCGAACGGCGACTTTAATCCTCAGAGTCATAACAAGCCTCAGTAAATACAAACCACTGACTGACTGTAACTCTGGTATCAGAGGATGTAAGACGCAGTTTTAATGATCAGCGTTTACCAAATCACGACAAAGACTAAAGTAAACATGAACATCTGACACATGGCCACGGTCACACGGTTCAACAAAAACTTGGGCTAGAAGCAACTTTGATGGTCGAGGTCTTGAGATCGTACGGACAAAATTTTAAGTAAATCGGATCAAATCTGTTGTAGGACTTCGTTAAAGTACGACCCCTGTAAATGGCCAAAAAATGCACGCAAGCAACAGACGACTCTTTGTAGGTCTTGAGATGTTACATATGCCTACGAATTTTCATACCTGTAAGTGAAACGTACGGCGGGGGCTCCTTCGCTGACTCAACAAGGACTAGAAAACATGTCTGGAGGTCGTTACTGAGGTTCCACTGATTTTCTCCAGTTATTAGTCAGACCCTGTTTGACAAGAACTCAAGCTTTGAGTAAGTTTTGATGTCAAAGGTCATCTGATGGTACGGACAAAATTTGAAGTGAATAGGATCAAATCTGTGGGAGGAGTTCATAAAAATACGACCCCTGGAAATGGCCAAAAATGCACCAAAGAGGCACAGTAAATTCAAAATGGCCGACTTTCTACTGAGTTTAACGCATGGCTCCAAGAGGCTTTTTTGTATGTCAAGTTTGGTACATGTTGTTGAAAGTTTGTGGGGAGCGTTACCCATAAAGTATCAAATTTTTGGGCATGTTGAGCCCCTCCAAAAAGCGATTTATTTGTACGAAGAAGAAGAAGAAGCGCTGAAGCTCATTAAACACCTGCAGTTTAAACAACTTTAATAAAAGAGCAGTATGCATAAAACTTGAATCAGACGTGTTCAGAGCGTTCGAGGCGACTCAACAGGAAGTCCAGGAGCTGTAAAGAAAAAGATAAAGTCCTCAAGCTCTCAGTTTAAGGTGCTGATAAATGAGCCGCACTCATTTGGCATCCCCAGGAGGTTCAATTCCCTCTGACGTCACAACACGTTTTAACCCAAGTCTGAAAAACTTAAAAAGAAGTGAGTGAATCTGAAGGTCAGACTCTGAACACATCTGTGATCGTCTCAATGTGGCTGCCGTGTGTCCAGGTCAGTCAGGACCTTGAGGACTCCGGACACTCTCCTTCCTCCTCCTCCTCCTCCTATAATGTCTGATTCTTTTATTAATCCCGTTGGGGAATCGTCTCTTTTTGTAGCTGCCTGCCTTCCTCCCCCCGCTCTGATAAAACTTAACTGCTGTTCGGTTTGAGCTAAATAGCTGAGCGGGTCCATTTAATTCTTAATTGATGTGTGATTAAGAGCGGCCGAATGGCTATGGCCGGGGGAATGTCACCTTCCCAGAGGAGGACTGGACTTCCTGACCACAGCCGCCGCTGCCACCGCCACCGCCACCGCCCAGGAGGACGGACGGATGAGCGTGCTGGAAACTTACCGTCCTGGAAGACTCGCTCCACGTTGAGGCCGTAGGTGGCGCAGGTTTCGTAGTAGGTGCAGCGTTTGAGGTCGTTGGAGAGTTTCCTGGCTCGGCTGTCGTCGATCACTCTCGGGTTGGCTGAGCTGATGGCGTCTGAGGAGGGAGATTAAGTCTTTACACCTTTCCCCAGAATCATCTGTAGTCTGAGTAATCTGTAATCTGAGTTTCAAATGTTCCAAATAAAATCACAAACTCTTATTTTACAGCTGCGTTGGAGTCATGTTTCTGATCGAGGCTGCAAAGCTGACTCAATCTGGACTTTGCTTTGGAATACAAATCGTCCATTTTTGGTGTTGAAAGAGAGCGCCATGTCTTTAACTGTTCCTGTTTTAAAAAATCTTTAGTTTTAGTCGAATCTTTCATTTTTAATGGTCCAGAAAATTTTATTTTTCATGCACTAATGGCAGAAAATATCATTTTTACCTTCTTACTTTGGGTATTTCCTGATTTTCTCTGCTTTATATGACACTGACAAAGACGACATTTAAAGGCATCACCTTGGACTTTAATTAAGAAGACTTAAACAATGTTTTAAGTTCAGTATCCTGGTTTAAAAATTAAATTGAAAAAGGATGGACAAACTCTGGCTGCAAACTTACTTTTGTCTTAATCTTTCATTTCAGATGGTAAAAATCTGTCATTTTTCATGGAAAAACGGCAGAAAATATAATATTTACCTTCTTAAATTTGGGTATTTCCTGATTTTCTCTGCTTTAAATGACACTGAACTGAATTTCTGAGGTTTACAAGACATATAAAGGCATCACCTTGGACCCTGAGATACTAGTTTAGCCATAGTCCACCATTTTCTAACATTGTACAGACCAGACTATCAATTGAAAAGTCTAGAAAGTCGTCACATTAATTGATGATGAAAATAAATGTCAGTCGCAGCCCTAGAGTGGGTCATGTTTCCTTTTATCATGTCGGCTTGTTTCTTCTTTCGACTACAACTTGAAAATAACCCTTGATAATTTCTAGTTTAGTTCCTGGTTTAGAAAATGAAAACTGAAAAGGACAAACTCTGGAAACTTTGGCTGCAAACTGAAACTTTGTTTTTATCTAAATCTTTAAATGTTGGTGTCAAGAGTGGAGCTGCAACAATAAATCAAATCTACCAATTGATTTGAAGTAGTTTGTTGTGCAAATTGCGAGTGAATGTTGTTTTCAGCCTCTTAAAAATGGAAATTTCATCATGTTAAACCAAAGTCCTTTGGGTTTTGGACGGAACAAGACATTTAAAGGCATCACCTTCATCATTTAAAGACCAAACGTTTAATCGACGAGTACCTAGAAAATAATCGGCAGATTAACTAAAAATAAAAATAACTTAGTTCGGCTTGTTTATTCTTCGGACTATAACCCTTAAAAATGTTGCTTTGAGTTTTAGTTTCCTGGTCCAGGAAGAACTCTGAAAACTTTACTTTAGACTTAATCTTCCATTGCTGTTCCTTTTATCCAGTCAGCTGCTTCATGCGTTGGACCACAGATGTCTCAGTTCACCCTCGACCCTGTCAGCACTCTGGAAACTTTGGTGATACTTTGGCGCCCTCTGCTGAGAAACGTTGGCCAGTGAACACTGTGGTCTGAGAGACTTTTAGAGGCCATCCAGGAAAATGAGGAAGAACTAAACTCCTCTTCTCTTCCTGATGAAGGTTTCAGACCAAACTTGTAGATATGGAGAGCACGACTTTGTGGTGTGCGAGAACTTTGTTAAAGTTCTTATCCGTCTTGCAAATACAGAAATAAAGGTAATCAGTGAGTGTAATGAACTTTAAGACCATCACATCCTGGTCTCAGACTCCAGGACGAGGCTACATCCTGGTTTACAGAACACAGAGAAGTCACCGCGGGTCGTAGCGAGGTGCTGATCAGCAGCAGTAGACTTGGAAGTAGAAACCGCAGGTACCAACTCTGGAAATGAACCTGACTCCTGTCTGACTGCTGAGCGTGGACACTTCCTGTGTCTGTCCTTTCAAAGTAAAGTCACACATGCTCCAATCATGAAGGTTTGGATTTATTTTGGCAAGGTGCAGCTCCTGATGGAGTTTCACATTTTTCTCCTGAACCTTGATCCTGTCTAGAATCATAAGAACCAGGACTCTGAGCTCTGTGCAGTGACTGTCAGTCACCACTGGGTGGCAGCAGAGCCTCACAGAACAAACACTGTCTGCCTCAGTAGAAGGAGAGAGTGTGTAACAGTGTGTATTTCCCTGTGTGTGTGTGTGTGTGTGTGTTGGTACCTTGCGTGCCGACCAGGACCAGCGGCAGGTCGGCGGCGTTCCTGTAGTTGGCGAGGCGGCTGAAGTAGTGATAGACTGTCTGGAAGCTGATCTCGTCCTCCAGACTGAAGACGAAGATCACGGCGTCCACCCACAGCGCAAACTGCGCGCACACACACACACACACACACACACACACACACACACACAGATTCAAATACAACTTTATTTACACAGAGTCTGACAGAAAACAAATCAGAAACACATCAACTGTTTCCTCCTGTGACAGGAAGTAACGGAGATGTGAAACTTTCTCCTGACTTATTTATTCATTATTTTATTTTCAATAACTTTTTTCTGACTCTTTATTCATTATATTTTTATTAACTTTTTCTGACTTTTTTTCATTTATTATTTTATTTTTAACTTTTTTTCTGACTTTTTTATTAATTATTTTATTTTTAACTTTTTTCTGACTTTTTTTTATTTATTATTTTATTTTTATTAACTTTTTCTGACTTTTTATTCATTATTTTATTGTTATTAACTTTTTTCTGGCTTTTTTATACATCATTTTATTTTTAATTTATTTTTCAATTTTATTTTTAGTAAATTTTTATTCCTAACTTTATTTTACTTTTTTAATTCAACCTTTTACTTTTTTAGATTATTTATATTTATTTTGTTCTTATTTTTAATACATTTTTCAATTTCATTTTTCTTAACTTTTTTCTTACATTTTATTCTTATTTTTTTTCTTATTCATTTATTTGCTATCTTTTTAATTCATTTTTTATATTACTGCTTTATATCCTTTCAATATTCTTGTTTTCTTTTCTTTTTTTATTTACAACTGCAAATAAACATTGTTTATTTATGAACCTGTACATTAATTCTTCCATGAAATAATGAGCTGTACGACCGACTTAATGTCCTTCCTGTTTTATAACTTTATATTTGTGAGGTGGACGCACACACTGAGCCTCACACACACAGACAGACAGACTGATAGACAGACTCCATGAGGAGCAGACAGAAAACAGGTGAATTATTCATCAGGTAAAGTCCTGACCCACTTTCACCTCGTCCTCCGTCTCACACCCTGATGATGCTCTTCATCACTCACTGAGGAAGATGATGGACGCTTCACAGAAAGACTTGAGACACGAATAACATTGCCTTGTCTTTTATTTGTTACTTTTTGATTCATTTTTAATTTTATTTTCTGTTAATCTATTTGTTACTTTTTTATTTTAGATTAACTCCTTTCTTTCTTTAAAATTAGATTTTTAATTAACTTTTTCATACTTTTTATTTAATACTTTTATTTCATTTTTTATTTCTGCTTTCGTATTTTTTAAATTCTACTTTTTATTTTGAATTCAGTTTTTCTTACCTTATTATTAATAATTATTTTATTTTTCTTACCTTTTAATTTATTTCTAATTGTATTTTTGTATTTTTTTTTTAAATTTTTTATTTATTTATTATTATTTCATTTTCCTTGACTGTTTTCTTACTTTTTGATTCATTTTTAATTTTATTTTTTTTATTAACTTTTCATCTTTTATTTTGTTTTTATTCATATTTAATTTGTTTTTATATCAGTTCTTATTTATTCATTTTCATTTTTTTAATTTACCTTTTTCTTACTTTTTATTTATTATTTCAATCTAATATTTTCTTTATTTTTTTTTATCTTTTTCTTAATTGACTTTGTTTATTATTATATTATTTTTATTATTATTATTTATTTTTTTTCTTCCTCCAACATGTCAAACACTGAACAACACATTTCAGAGACTAAACTAATATAAAGTTACTTCAGCAGCAGCAGCACAAAATACTTTAGCGTTTCATTCGGCCTGTCGGTTGTCAGCAGTGCTCAGCTGATGTCCCAGTGTGCAGGTGCAGTACTCACCTGAGCCTCCGGGGGGCCTCCTTCGTCTCTGATGAGCAGCAGGTGACTCTGACCGTCCACCACGATCTCTTTCTTGAAGCGGCCGCCTGCAGGAAACAGCGTCAGCGTCAGACGGAGACAGACGACACGACTACGACACGACTACAGGTGGACCAGCGTCTCTATCTGCTCTACAGGTGATCGATGACACGGTAATGATCCAATGATTGATTGATCTGCTCTACAGGTGATCGATGACACGTTATGATCGACTGATTGATTGATTTGGTGGAAGACGGTCGACACTAAGAGGAGAGTGAATATTTAGGATGATTAAAATGGCTGAAACTCAGTGTATCAGGGAAAGATGCGCACACACACACACACACACACACACACACACACCTTGATGATGTCACACTGTGTAGCAGCTGAGTCACCATTAAAAATGGCCGACGTCACTTCCTGTTGAATCCTGTTTTTTTCTTTTTTAATCAACATCAAAAACAAAACTAGTTGAGTTTTTAATTATGTTTAAATCTATTGTAACTGTTCACACTGTATTGTTTTAGTCCATTATATGAAACACTATTTATTATCTTGTTTATTTATCTTGTTTTTATTACCTTACTTTTAAATTAATTTTGATTTTTTAATTTTTTTCTTTTTTACATTTTTCATTTGCTTTATTTTCAAAACTTTTGTTTGTTGTTTTTGACTTTATTTTGCATTTGAAATTATTTTATTTAATTAACTTTTTCTGACTTTGTAAATTATTTTTCAACTTATTTTTTTCTTACATCATCTATTATTTATATTTTGTTTTATCTATCATTTATTATTTTGATTTAATTCAAATTTTTTAAATTACTTTTTTGTTACATTTTTCATTTGTCTTATTTTTTTAAACTTTTTTTTTTTTGTTT